TTTTTAGTATTTTCGTTTTTTATTATTTTTATTATTTTGATGTTCTGGCTTCTCCCTGCATGCAGCCTGCTGCTGCTGCTGCTGCTGCTGCTGTTGTTGTTGCTGCTTTTTCTGCTGCAACAGCAGCTACTGCTGCAGCTGCCTGTGTTTGTCTGCTGCTGCTGCAGCTGTTGCTGCTGCTGCTGCTCCAGCTGCTGCTGCTGCAGCTGCTGCTGCTGCAGCTGCTGCTGCTGCTGCTGCTGCTGTGGGTGCATGCATGCAGGTTGCTGCTGGTTTGTCTGGCCCCCTCTCATTTCCTTCTTCGTCTGGGGCGTCGTATCCTCTATCAGCAACAAAAAGAAAATAAAAAGAAAAAAGAAAAAATAAATAAAATAAACACAGAAATAAGTACACATGCAGCAGCATCAGCAGCAGCAGCAGCAACAGCAACTGCAGCAGAAGCAGCAGCAGCAGCAGCAGCAACAGAAGCAGATGATTTGAACCCTTTACTGGGGGATACCAATGGCGTTTCGGGTGTACAGACAGCTCTGCTGCAAGACAGCAGCAGCAGCAGCAGCAGCAGCAGCAGCAGCAGCAGCAGCAGCAGCTCGTCTTGCATGCATAAATATGGACCTATTCTAACAGCAAGCTTCAGAGAAGATGCTGCTGCTGCTGCAGCAGCAACAAAAAGGAAGAAGGGAACGCTGCAGCTACACCCCAATATGCGCATCGGCACCATCGCTCTTGCTGCTGCTACGCAGAGTGTACATACACCCCAAGCAGCTGCAGATACACCCGAAAAAGCTGCACATACACCCCAACCAGCTGCAGGTACACCCCAAACAGCTGCACATACACCCCAAACAGCTGCACATACACCCCAAACAGCTGCAGATACACCCCAACAAGCTGCATGTACACCCCAGCAAGGTGCATATACACCCCAACAAGCTGCACATACACCCCAAGCAGCTGCAGATACACCCCAGCAAGTTGCATGTACACCCCAACAAGCTGCAGATACACCCCACGAAGCTTCGCAAGACAAAGAGCAACAGATGAAAGGAGAAGGCCGACGAAGGCGGCATATGAGGGGCCCCCAGGGGCCCCGGGGGGCCCCCCATAAGCAACCACCCAGTACCTCCTCGGGGGGGCCCCAGGGGGCCCCCAAAGAAGAAGAGGGAATATGCGAAGTGTTTGGGTTTGTTTCAGGTAAAGAAAAAAGAAATAAAAAGAGAGAAAGGAGAGAGAAATAAATAAATAAATAAATAAATAAATAAATAAATAAATTTGTTTTGTGTTTATTTTTGTCTTTGTAGGAGTTTTTTGTAAAATATAAAATAAAATAATAAAATAAATAGAAAAAGAAAATCAAAAAATTACGGGTTTTTATTTGCTGCAGTGTCTGCTGCTGCTGCTGCTGTTGCTGCTGCTGCTGCTGCTGCTGCTGCTGTTGCTGCTGCTGCTGCTGCTGCTGCTGCTGTGTTTTAGGAGAACTGCTTGAGTTCAACGAAATGCTGAAGGCGGACCCAGACCTTCTGCTGCGAACGGTGAGAGATAAAATAAATAAATAAAATAAATAAATAAATAAATAAATAAATTTATATTTATAAATTAATTTATATTTATATTTATATAAATGTTTTCTTCTCTGCTGCAGCCAGAAGAAGGAGGATGGCTCTTCATAGCTAAACCCGCAAAAAGAAATGTGAGGACCTGCGTATACACCCCAGCAAGCTGCAGATACACCCCAAATATTTTAAAATATTTTATTTATTTATAAATAAATAAATAAATAAATATATATATATATATATATATATATATATATCCACAACATTTATTTTTTTCTATTTACAAAATAAGCTGCGTATACACCCGAGCAAGCTGCATATACACCCGAACCTCCGCATACACCCCATGAGCTGCCTATACACCCGAATATATTTCACAGTATAAGCTGCGCATACACCCCAAATATTTTTTAAAGCTTAAGCTGCATATACACCCCAATATATTTCACAGTATAAGCTGCGTATACACCCCAAATATATTTAATAGCATGAGCTGCCTATACACCTGAAGCTGCAGATACACCCGAGAGTGCACATCCATATGAAGGGGACTTCCGCTTACCTCTTTTCGTTTGTTTTTTATTATTTTTATTTAATTATTTTTATTTTATTTATTTTATTTTATTATTTTTTGTTTATTTTTTTTTTTTTTTTTTTT